TTCTAGAGAACCTTTCGGTCAATTTGCCATTGAAATCACCTTTGATAACTACGTATGTGTCACAACTTTTTATGTGGAATATGTATCTATCTATGCTAGTTAACGACATCTCTATGTTTGGGGAAAGGTAAAACTATAAATTCACATACCGTTTGTGTGTACCATGACGACATTTTTTGGGTTTCCTGCATTTTGTATATGTTTAGATGACAGTTTCTTTCTGTATTGCCTTTCGTATCTTCAAACATATTATTTTTTTCGTCAGATCTATATTTTTCGCTAATACGCTTGAAAGATTTTAAAAACCTCTACGCGAAGTGCATTTGCTCATATATTGATTAATGTTTATCTCATCGGTTTCTAGGCAGATTACACATATTTAACTTATAGCATAAGCTAGCTTTATGCCCGTCGATTCCACATTTCCTTGACAGTTTCGTGCCAGATTATTTTTCCTTGTACATCTAAATTGAATAACCACCACTTCGAATTTGTGTTCCTCAGAATTTTTTGGCTATATTGCCAGGAATTTCTACCAAAACTTGTGTATTTTTATTCCAGAGGCATCAGTTTTATGGGACGCGTCCAGAATTCAACTTACAATTTACTTTTCATCGATGCTCTCTTAAATGTGTTTGATATCAACAAGGAATTTTTTCATTTGATGACTACTTCCAAGTTCAATGGGTCCAATCAATTTCATTAGGCTTGATAGAACTTTTATTTTCCCTTAAGATGTTTGCGTAGGGGGAGTTTGATGGTTTTAGCAACTTTATTCAGCGGAATTGGGTAATATTTCGTGTTTGTAGTTTGGTATAGATACTACAGTGTGTGACAGAAAATTGTCTATTCTGATCAACGTTCTCATATAGCCGGAAGAAGACAGAAGACTGTCTATTCATATCCACGTCGTCGTATAGCCCACATATAGCGGTACCTACTTTACTCTGTATTTTGACGATTTCAGCGACATTATTTAACGGAATTGTTTCAAATTTTGTATTTAAAGTTCGAAATCAGTCCTACAGGCTACTTATGTAGGTCCACGTATTCGTATGGTACGTATGGACCCGGCCCTTGAATCTATCTAACAACTGCATAACCAAGTTAATTGCATAACCATTTTTCTGGTATAGGGTAACAGCCTGCTAGGGATTGTACCCAATCGTTTTGAGGATATTTTTTCGGTTCACTCATTATTGAGTTCATCGCACTTAGATTAATTCCAAGCTTCACGAAATCAGTTTCGAAATACACCTATCGTATGGTTATCTGTGATTGCTCACTCTATTCGGCTTAATAGCATTTCATTTGCTATTGATGCAACGATTTTGTTAGTACCGTTACTGTTTATTCTTGACGCTAGGCCGTTATAAGAAACAGTGCACAGAGCCAGTCTCGTACTAATCAGGACAATGTCGGTCTTCACCGCCAACGTAAATGCGACGGGACTGAGAGCGTACATCAAAACTTCCCAAGTTTTTATCAGACAAGTCCAAATACAACATTAGCTAAGAAGCCATTTCGGTAAAATTTTACTTCACTTACTCAGATTCTGGAAAACTATAACCGGCAGGGCCTGGGAATCAAAGCAATTGTAAGTGAAGTTTTACGTATGCAATAATGAAGATTTTACTTGTCTCGATCTTAATGCCCTCAATCACGAAATATTTGATTTGCCCCTCTTGGAGTCACTTGTGGTAATGCACGGATTGCTATGGCTTGAGTACTTCTGAAAGCAGATGGGATGGGATGTTCAGGGTTTAACATGTTTCCTGCCTTGATGGTACAAACCATGGTGCATGAAGATATGAATATGTTCCCAAGTGATGGTGTAAATAACTAGTTTTTTAACGTCATACGGCTGTTGGTTGCATCTTCTTTAGATATGACCCTTGAGTTTTATATTACGGAAGGTAAGTTGAACAAAGCTTTCCAATGCTTGTTAATTTGCATTAGCTTATTTTCTTATCAGATTTTTCAAAAACCATCATGCGTGAAAGGAATTGTTGATTTTTTTTCTTCTTCAGTCTTTTAACTAAAATTATACAGTTTGTCGACATTACTTGCTCTGGGATATTGTATGTAGTTCGAGAGAAATGGTTTCCAAAGATTAATATCGTATGGAAAAAAAATTATTAAATCGTTTTTATATTAGTTCCCTAGACTTGTAAGCAATAGCTCCATTTCGTCATAAATATATTACAAGTTGATTTATAAACCGTTATATCCGCTGAAAAGTAGTTTGCAGCACAATGAAGACAATATGAGCTCTATCTCTCTCTTTGTTTTCTAAGTCTCTGCATTCTTCATAATCGTTGTAGACATTTCTAAATTTCATTGTTACGTCTATATTAATATTAATAATGGATGTCGTCAGAACAGTGTCCATATTGATCCAGATCCTAGCCAGATTTTCTATGGAATTGTTTTAAATGTGGCATTTAAGACTCACAATAAATAACAATCCTTGTAGTAAAAAATGTTATCTAGTTTCCTGGTTTGGTATGTCGCCCATATAACATATACATTGAAAAAAATCATAATATTAATTAAATAACACATCAATTTCCATAAAGACACTTTTACATAAGAAAGTTCTTTCTAAAGTTCTCATATAACCTTATTAACTTTATTTTGGCTTAAGGTCAATTGAAAACATCAGAGTTTTATTTTCATAATTTTGATTTTTATTTTCCGATATTTCGACTGTCTTCGACAGTCATCTTCAGGAAAAAATTTTTAGTGAGAAAAGCAACAGTCTGGTTTCACCGTCTATGACCGTCTGTGACGGTGAAACAAGACTGTTTATTAAAAACAATAATAAACGTATGCGTACGCGACTGTTGTGCGAAAACTTTTTTCGTCGCACAATGGTTCGAATTAGTTAAAATTCTGCAACTTTTGAACGCTGAATCAAAAGCGATCAAATTTGGTTCAGTAATTGCAGAGAAATTCAAAGTCAAAGTTCAACTTTTTAGTTTGTTTTTAACCTTTTGCATTAATTAATGAGTGATTTTTGTGTTTTATATTAGAAAAATAAAAAATGTGTTTATTTCTCTTAATGATGTGAAATTTACAGTGAAAAGAAAAGTGAGACACCATCACACACGATTGATGGCTTACAAGGGCCGTTCTTATGAAAACAGTATTTATTTTTAACTTGTTGCGGATAAGCATATGCGAATTAAACACCAGAAACCCTCCAAGTTCGACTCAAGCTCTACTAACAATTTTTTTTGCTTCCAATGCATACACCTGATATAGTGCTGCTGTAGGAGGCCGGGTTTATGGCTCTGAACGTTGAGAGGGCAAATTCTAGGTGGCTGCATACCGAGGTTTGAAATTCAAATTCAACAGCAGGGGTCGGCTGAATGATTTTTGAGTTCTTGCTTTGTTAAGATGACGAGCTTAATGATTTGAAATTTGCAGTGAAAATGAGAGCCATATAGACACAGATCGCCACTATGCGACGCGTTTCGCCGTTGGTTAAGCGGCTCACCAGGTATGTTTGGTGTGGTTGATGACTTACAAGGATCGTTCCAAGAAAAGAAGTATTTATTTCGAACTTATTGCGATTAAGTTCTACCATCAAATAATTTTCACAGCAAAGCTTCTTCAGTTATATTTTTTTCTAAAAATAAAAAAAATGCTTTTTGGTTGTTGATGGTTCTATCAATTTTTTATATTTACGACCACACGCCTACATGGGACGCCGTTTAACTTGCTTCAGTATCAGACAGGACTTGTGGACAAATTTTTCCTCTACTCTCTCTAATTGACATAGTAACTTCCATTTTCCGCGTCAAGGTTTATTTCGATGGACTGTAGTGAGGTAATTTATGTATTCACATCACTGACGGATCCGCTTATTATTTTTGGAGCAAAATTTCGTTTATGTTGGCAAGGTACAAATGACGCCATAAACATATCAGTGTCTGAAACATTTTCAAATATAAATTGTTTTGATTGGTTTTCAGATTAACCATCACATTCCCATTTTGCTTTAATGTTTGATGCAATCGAGCTGTGTGATCGATTACCTTCTTAAGTTGTGCCTCTGCTGAACTCAGAGTAATTGCAGTTGTGCTTCTTTCAATTGCGCGCAATCCAAACGCTTTTTTATTTGAAAACTTTCTTGGCTTTTATTGCTTGGAATAAAAATACTTTACACAATTCGTTTTCAACTATATAAGGAATAACAAGAAAGATAATAATAGAACAATGGGACAAATGTTTGCATTACATATGGAACAAATCACAATCGAATCGAACATATCTCACGTGATGCCACAACCTATGGTTTGCACTTAAAATCCGGAGTATCATGCGGGTTAGCCTCCCACGTTTAACAGGTTTTTGTAAGAACCATTACATAGACAGTTCAACACTAGACTGAAACTCCTATACATTCCATGTAAGGGCCACTAAAGGCAACAATTTTTAATTGGAACAGCTGTTGAGGATGGTGTTGGTGTTGCGATGGAGCTCCTTATTCCGACAAACTACGCTGTTGCAACATAATGTTTTGTCAAACAGAATCATGGTTCGGAGATTTTTGTTAAGTTCCGGCGCGGAAAAATAAGTCTCCCAGAGATGAGAAACAACGGATATTCGTAGCGTATAAATCAGGGCGGGACACTGCATGTGATTGTATGTGTTTTTTAATAAAAAATTTTGCAAGTGTTTCTTTGACTCTCTTTAAACAGAGAGAAATGTTTTGTTAGTTTCAGTTTTAAAATATCTGTTTCCAAACAAATTTTATATATACAAATTCTGACAGATAGAAAATTTTATAAAACTAGATAAATCTATACTGCTGAAAGTTTTACAATCAAGGAAATAAGTTTTTAATATAGTAAGTTATATTTATGTACTCTCTTTATTAAAGACTCTCTTTGCCTTGCCCTGATATAAAACCTTCCGTTAATAGCATTAAATTTCTAGTTTTCATTATTAGACTGTCTTTTTTATCTCAGAATTTATATGCCCATTTTCAGATACTAAAACACAAAATTGATAATGTTAAAAGGATGAGTTCCCACCCTTTATTGCCGCTTTATTTAACGGGAGGGCAAGATGGTTCTGTTCAAATTTGGGAATGGGGTCACCAGCAGGTAGTTTGTACTCCCCGAGCTTCGGGAACATTTGCAAAAGTAACCAGATGTAGATTTTCTGAACAAGGAAATAAGTTTGGAATTGGAGATGGAGACGGAAACCTAAGCTTATGGCAAGCTGGTATTGCTTCTCAAAATAATAAATCGTTTTTTGTAAGTTTAACTTCAGCAAATTTAAATATTGATTAATAATTATGTTTTCCAAACAGACATACCAGTGCCACAACAAGACGCTTTCTGATTTTGTGTTTTTAGGATCATGTAGTTTACTGGCAACAGGTAAGATATATGCATACTTGTTAAAATAAAGCTAAAATTTGTCAAAGTCCGTAACTTCATAACCATTATGTTTGAACCAAAGAGTAAACGCAGTGACGTTAAAAACAGTGATTTAGAACATTTTTTTGTAATTAAAAGTTATTTTATTTATTTTAAAGAAACATTTTTAAATTATGTACACAAATAAACTACCAAACTGCTTGTATACATGCGGTAGGATAGCATTTCAGCTGGTATTTTACGAATAAATGCTTCAATGTTGTCTTCTTATGCGTCAATTGAAGCGGGCTAATCTGCACAGACATGAACTTTAACGTAGCCCCACAAAAAATAGTCTGAAAACTATACATGGCGCGATTATAGGCGGAGAACTGACCGAATGTAAAATAAAATGTTTACCGAACTCGTTACGCCGAACTCCATTGTTACGCGCGATATATGGCGTGAGGCCCCATCTTGTTAAAATCAGAAGTCATACAAGTCAAGCTTTTGCGTTTTAGGCAAAAAAGTTGAATATTATCTTACATTATCACTCATCATTCACAGTTACGTTACGATTCCCAGCGTCTTTGAAGAAGTATGGTCCTATGATGCCACCAGTCCATAAACCGAACCATACATTGGCTGCTGTTCATTCGTAGGCCTTCATGAAGTTCTAATGTAGTTTGATGATCTATAAATGCTGATTATGATAATGAAGTAACATGTGGGTGATGATAATTTTTTATCTATTATGGCTATTGTTGTTGCTGCACTTAATGATATGAGATTTTAACTTTAGTGTCATTTAGGTCAACCTTTTTTCAGACGTAGAAAATTACTTGTTACGAATGTTGGATTGACTAAACAATCAAACATGATTCTCTTTTTATACCCTCCACCTCGAAATATACATTTTAGACCCCAAAAGTATATATATTCATAAAATTCTATGACGATTTAGCAAAGTCCGTCCGTCTATACTTCTGTGGAAATCACTCTAGCTTCCGAATGAAATGAAGTAGGTTAATAAAATTTTACTCAAATGTGTATTATGTTTGCAGGATTTTTGGTATTGAAAATGGGCCATGTAGGTCCACGTCTTCGTATAACCCCTAATATAACGGTAGAGACATTATTTACCGGAACTATTTCAAATTTAGTATTTGAATTTCGTAAGGTATACTACAGCCTATGACAGAAAATTGTCTGTGAAGATCCACGTCTTCGTATAGCCCCTATAAAACGGTACCTCCAGATATTAGATATTTTGATGATTCTAGCGACGTTATTCGCCGGAATCGTTTCAAATTTGGTATTTCAAGTTTAAAATGAATACTACAGCCTATGACAGAAAATTGTCTGTGCAGGTCCACATTTTATAACCCCCATGGTACCACCCTATATTCGGTATTTTGATGATTTTAACTACATTATAAACAATTTTTTTCAAGTTTCGCATTTGAATGTAATAATAGCTTGTGACAATAATAGATCCACGTCGTCGTATAGAACCTAATATACGGCTACATTCGGTATTTTTCAGATTTTAACGGATTTAATTTTTTTGAAAATTGCCAAATTCGTACTAAATGGTGGAGGGTATTTAAAGTTCGGCCTTTTTTACTTTTTTGCGTTTATTTTTTTCCATTTATCTAGTAAAAATTAGCGAGAAAATGTTTTATTTATTTATTTTCAATTTTAAGGGTAAATGTAAAATAAACTATCTTATTGTGATACGTATATCCAATGTAATTTTAAACCTCTAAAAAACAATTGAGGGGAGAATTTAGGTTCCAAAAAAACATGTTTTAGAAAGGGTTTATATTATGGAGTGGATGCATTTCCGAAATTGTTCCGGCCTAAACCGGATATAGAAATACAGCGATAAGGACTACATTGCTTCCTGCTGCGTCAATGTAGACCCCAGTGAGTCTTCATCTTCGGCGTCCTCATCGTCGTCGCAATATGAGACTCCCCGCAATCTCCTCAACAGCAATTCATGCAGCAGTTGACGCCACACATTGCTTTTCAAGTTCCGGATAATGCGTCATTTCTCCAGTTTATTGTGATGGTCTCCGAGTAAGATCGGAATCGTAAGCTTCATGAGTCGGAAGAACATCAAGGTGGCAGCGATCTAGGAAACGAAGCTGAGTACCACCTGCAGGCTTCAAAGTTGTGATGGATACAACGTACTGTGGAAGGATCGCTCCAGGGGTGGAGTTGGATGATTAGCGTTCCTATTGCATCACTCTATCCCGCCGTACATGGAATGTATAAGGGGTGGCGGTCAAGTGTGGAACCGCCGAGGTAGAGGTACTCAACGTGTATATTCCGCCGTTAAATAGCTGTGCCCACGTTATATGCCTAATATCAGTTCACTTCTGGTAGGAAATAACCGTCTGGAGCTAGGGGATTTCAATGTCCATCAGGAATTATGGCATTTCGTCCTAGGTAATGACCAGAGAGGCATGGCGCTGGCTGAGCAAATTGATAGCTCCTCGTTTTGCACAGTGAATGAGGATGCGCCCACCAAAATAAGGGGAGACTGCCACAGTTCACCGGACATATTCATCGTGTCCCCAGGTCTGATAAATGGCGTAACTTGGCAATCAGTCATTTCTCTAGGCTCAGACCACCTCCCCATTATTGTCGCCATCAAGAGACCACCCGACTTCATAGACTCTGAACACCGCATTTTCCTTAACCACAGGAAAACCAATCATCATCAAAGCTGCAGCCGCTCGCTATATACCTGCTGGTCGAATACCTTAGATAAGACCAAATTTCCCAGCAGAGGCAGCGGGATTAGCAAACGAGCGAGATGAGCTTCGCCGTACCAACCCTAATAACCCCAGAGTCAGGGAACTTACTCTGGAGGTAAACCGGTTTGAAGGTGGGCATAAGCGGAAAAAGTGGCTAGAACATCTGAAGCATGGCAACATCAGTACCGGAACGAATAAATTGTGGGCGACGGTTAAGTCGCTCTCGAACCCTGGGAAAAAGGACGATCGGACATCTGTCTCATTTAACGCATAGAAATGACAGATCCGAAGAGGTGCGCGTGTTATTCCAACCGGCGGTTTGTAGAGCACCCCGAGAGTGACAGGGCTAAGAGAAGGATGCTACGCCGTGTACGATAACTTCCAGCCGAGAAGGTACCACCAAAATTTACGTTGGAAGATGTTGCACATGTCATCAGAAGCGCAAAGTCATCCAAAGTGCTTGGTCCTGACGGAATCTATATGGTGATGTTGAAGCAACTGGATGAACCAGGATTTGAGTATCTTACAAAGCTCCTCAATCTGTCGTTAGCCATCCTACTAGTTCCCGATCATCAACACGGATTCCGAAAATTGCACAGCACAACAACAGCTTTACACGCCATTTCCACACATGTCATCAGAGGTCTCAACCAGAACAGGCCGTGCGATAGAACAGTTATGGTGGCACTTGATTTATAAAAAGCCTTTGATACAGTCAATCATGCCACACTGTTCGAGGACATTGAGCGCACCGCCCTCCGGCCAAGTTTGAAACGTTGGATAGTAAACTACATCTGTGAAACAAGAAGTCGAGCATCCGTAGAGTTAAACAGGGAGTTCCCCAAGGAGGGGTCATATCTCCGGAACTGTTTAACCTCTACCTTTCTGACATTCCACGCCCTCCAGACGGCAGATGATTGTACGCTCGTGGCGTTTGGACCCATTATTGTTGACATTTGCTATCAGTTAAACACTTACCTTGTTGATCTTACCGACTTTTTCACTGCGAGGAATATGAAGATATCCGCCATTAAGTCGACGGCCACACTATTCACCACATGAAGTGCGGAGATGGTGCTATCCTTGAATGCACAGGTCGATGGTACTATAATTCCGACCACCAACTACCCCAAGGTATTAGGGGTCACATTCGATAGTCTCTTTAAGTAGTCCGCGCATACCACAACTATCTGCGACAATATTAGAAATAGAAACAAGGTCCTCAAGTCTATGGCCCGCAATGCTTGGGGAGCTGATAAGGAAACCTCTTACAACGCGATAGGCCGGTATGTGGTAATCTATGCGGCTGCAGTAAAAAAATATTCGGTCCTGCCAGAATGCCGCCATTGTAGGTATAGAGTGAATACTGCGCTAGGAGACCATCCCCTCCCGTCGCAGCTGAAGAAGGAGAGCTGCCCCTATAAACCCGAATAGTTTTGGCTCAATTACGATCTGGATGTTGCAGCCGCCTAAATTTCTACTGGGCCCGGATTAACACCGATGTACAGAACATCTGCCCAGCTTGTGGCACAGGCCGACATGACGCTGCACCTATTTCGCTGTCCAGCCAAGCCTACTCACCTAACTCCAGTCTCGTTATGGACACAATCCATACAGGTTGCATCCTTTTTGAGACTGGACTTAGAGGCAGAACCAGATTAAATGGAGTCAGGAAATGAAAACCGAACGAACACAGATGTATGAGCTGCTACAACAACAATAACTATGTCCTACAAGGCTTAGCGTAATTATGTTAATAAGTTGTACATAAATGTAGTATGAATGATAAAACTGATTGTTATTAAGAATCGATCACAGTATGTTTTATGTCATTTCATTGTAGACAACATCTTCAAAAGTAAAACAATGGGCCAGCGATGCACAGTGTCAAGACCGTGGCCAAAACCAAGTGCCTTGTTTTACAAATGTATTGATGGGAATTAATAGAAAATCTGATTTTTGTATTGATACATCAAGTAGTTTTTACTATATGAGTGTTTAAATCGGACATTTATAGATAATGACTATTTTTGTCCTTTTTGTCTAAAATAATATAACATATTACGATCATAGATTTAAAAAATTAGAGCATCGGTCGCTTCAAAGGTGATTAGTAAGCTTTCTTGGAATGTAATAAGACTGGCTAAACTTTTATTTGCGTGTAAATACTGATTATGTGGTGTTTACAATTACCTAACATATTGTACTCATTTGACCACTTTTATAAAGCAATTTTTGAAATATGTGGAGTGGGAA